GAGCATTAGCAGTATGTTTAGGAAAAAATGAAAGTGAATGGCTAGAGATAAGAAAAGAATTGCATAGAGAATTGAATGAAAAGGAGCAATTTTACAAGACATTATTTTTAGCTAAAGACGATTATGAAACAATTATAAAAGAGGTTTTCTGGACAGACAGTCCTTGTACGTTCGAACACTGGATGAGTATGCTACAAATTGGAGATGTTATAGCAAATGCTTATCAAAGACCATTATACTTTTTCTCACTGCAAGTAAATCTTACCTTTCTTCCACATCACCAACCATTAAACCGAAATGAAGCACTCGCGATTGCTTTTGTTAATAATAATTATTATGTGGCTATAGTTTTAAAACCTGGTGCTCCTGTACCTTCAATTGTTAATTGATGGATGCAGTTTGCTACCTTGGCAGCATCCCGATGGAAACTATTAATTCAAGATCGTATTTCTAAGTTTCTTTCAATAAGTACTCCAATTGACAAAAAAAATTCAGAAAGGCAAGATAAAAATGATATATTAATAGTCATTTAAGAATATTTCATATGCTTTTTTAAGATGCTTCACATATATTTTATGCTTTTTAAGAATACTTTCACATACTTTTTAAGAATACTCTCTAAGAATACTTCTGCATGCTTTTAAGAATACTTCTGCAGCATTATAAGACTTCTGTTTACTTAAAATTAGACAAATTATAGATATTTATAATATGTACGTATGTATTTGACTACTTATTCGAATAAGTTGAATAATACTATCTTAAATTTGACAATGCGTATTACAGTCAGGGGATATTCCAAAAATGGATATTGTAGATCACACCTTTTATGATATAAGAGTATTGATCAGAAGATTCCAGATTTCATAGCACATGAGCATTAACCAATCAAATTAATCAAGAAGTTCAATATACGAAAGAGATATGTGAGACTAAAAACAACAATAATGAAGATAGTAACAACTGTAAATGTAGTTTGAAGTTAAATTTTAAATTACCATGCTGGCATATAATTCCATCAACGGGACCTATTCCGCTTTCAATTATACATCCCTGCTGGTATCTAAAACATGATTTGGTGCCTCTATTACCTTCGTCGTCATTATCAATTGATATAACTGCTAGTAAAGCCTTATACAAACTCGAGGATAAATATAAAAGCTTAAGTGATTGTGGGTCCAAAGCTACATTTTTAGATAAAATTAAAGCTTTGGTTGCTGAGGAAAATATAATTCCAAAGGCACCATTACGTATTGAATCTAAAAGACAAACATCTACTAAACGCGGTCTTCTTCGAAGTGAGTATCAAGATAAGGTTGCCGCAAACAAAGGGAAAAACGCAAAAATGAAGAAAAATATAAAAAAAGAAAAAAATAAAAAAAAAGAAAAAGATGAAAAAAAAACGGTGCTAAAACCTATAACAAATCTACAACAACTGCGACAACTCTTATATCATGATCAAATACTTATTTATATACATGAATATATTAAAGAAGTTATTTATGTGAATGGAGATGGCAATTGTAGATACAGAGCATTAGCAGTATGTTTAGGAAAAAATGAAAGTGAATGGCTAGAGATAAGAAAAGAATTGCATAGAGAA